CGGACCAGGACTCACAAAGACGAGGATTCCGTTTGTATCTCCCTTCCAACTCTCAATTACGTCCGTGTCCCGCTTCTCTGCCTCAGTGAGGTACATAGACCACAGCCCATCAGAAGAGTCTCCGTGGTTCTCGTCTAGAAGCCAAATGAGACCAGAACTCGTGAAACGGGAAAGTCAATATACCGCGCTGAACCTCTGGATCATCAGCAGTGTGTTGTGCAGGACCCGCCGCATTCCCGTCGTGATGTTTATTGGTGTTTGTAGCCTGGGGTTGAGGATCTGCGCTAGTTGCCGGTGGTAGCTCATTTGGGGGATTTGCAGCAGAAAGAGGATTTGTAATGATTGCAGGCTGAGTCTTCGTTACGCTATTGGCCTGAGCTTCGATATCTAGATTTGGGCCGGGTGATGCCATTCCTGAATGTAACGAAGAGGACCGCAGAGAGAGGAACACGTCAACCAATTACTTATACAAGTGCCATATATAGGGAGTATCGCAATCATTCCCACACCTCTGCAAATTCCGAAGGACCTTGATAGATCGGCACTTTCTGCACCTTTTCTTCCCATGAAAAACACTCTATCACAAGGGTCGGAGCTAAATCAGGTCACGAAAAACCGATAAGGCGATCCCGGTGGGTGTCTCAAGGTATGCCTCCTGGCGATCCCAGTAAAGAACCTGTCTTCCCTGAGGTGCTAACGTAGAATGGTTCACTAGACTACCAGGTCAAATTTTAGGCCAGCGTAGACAGGAATTGAAGAGGGTCAACACGTGACTCTCCTCAGGACATCTCAGGTACGTCTCGGGACGTCTCGACGGACAATGACCGATTCCGTTACTACAGTACATTTGCCGAAATGCCCCTGGGACTTCACGTGTGGGAGGAAAGCTGCCGCTAAAGTGACAAAAATTTGCGGAGGTGGGTACAACTGCTCCACGCTGAATGACTTGAGAAACCTGAATTGGGTGGGAAATACATGAGTCAAGCCACGATGAAGTTACGGAAACAGTTTACAGTAACTTAAGTGTTTTTTTGCAGAGGTGTGGGTCAGGGGTCTGGGAAGAATGGAGACAAAAGTCATTACAGTAAATCGGCTTTTACAGTCAGAGCGAGTTGGCCTCAATGTAATAATCGACATCCTTGAAGCAAGAATTAGAAAAGGTAATGAATAAAGCGAGGTGTTCAAACCAAAACACTCACAAAAGCGTTGTCGTCATGATCCCATATACCCTGACACTGGCAGACTTGTTCGGGCTGGATCTCGTTTTCTATGTGTCCCCTGTTCACTCTCGCCACGCGCTCTGCAAAGTTGTCCTGTCCCAGTCCGCCATGCCGACCACCGCGGCGCATTCCCCCCCAGTCGCCGCTGCGATCGTGATCACGACTACTCCCGGACCCCATTCCCCTACTTATAAAGGTGGCGTACCCTAAATCATCCGTGGCATCGCCGAAGCCTTCCAGCATCATGATGCTGTCCCTCCAAACGTACGCATCTTCTGGCTTGGCCGCTTGCGCTGGTTTCCATGAAATGCGGTTGTCTATGATAGCGAACATGCGGGGCAGGACGGCAGGATTTTGTCTGCAAAACGGCCATCTCGACATATCTCGAATTTCCGCCAATTTCCTTTCACAACCCCACCACCGACCAGATGGCAAATAGGCCTTGTCATGGGAATACACGCAACTGCCAACTCTGCAGTCCCCGAGTAAGAAGTGCAGACAAACGTTGCGTCCACTAGTCAGCGTCCAAAGTCAGCGTTCCTTCACGCAAGCGAAAAGGCGGAAAAAAGACATACAGGCGATCTCGCACACTCTTGTAATCCGGCGCGTGCGAAAACCTGCACTCGAGTCCCTGCTTGCAGCCGTCGTGATTGTAGGACCTGCAGGGAACACCGTTCCCCTCGTGGTTAAAATCGCTCGAATCCGACACCGACTCGAGCTCGACCTTCGAGTCGACGTTGAATTGCGGACGGCAGTCTTCCGAATCGATGGGCTCATCTTCTTCGTTGCGCTCTCTCATGAGAACGAGTACCTCGTCGAGTGCTTTCTTTGTTTCGGTCGAGTCTGGATTTTGCTCAAGTACGGTCGCGAAGTCTGCGTGAGTTTGCCAACAGTCAGTCCCGGCGTCGAGATATGAGGGGGTGGCACAGGTTAACGCACCGACACCAGCCGCGGTGAGTTGAAGGTTTCCTTTGCGCGCCTGACCACGACGAAAGCGTGCCTTAGCGAACTTTGGATCAATGCAGAGCGCGCGCTTAGCGCATTGCTCTGCGGCATCATATCTGCCAGGTATTTCGCACGTCAGTGGGAGGCTCACCCATGGTGTAGGCAAAACTCACGCTTCGAGCTTCAGCCATGCCGCGGCCATGTTTGAGAGGTACGTGGCGGTAGGGCCGTGGATCTTGACTGCGACTTCGTATTCTGCGATAGCCTCGCGGTACTCTCCCTTGCGGAAGTGTGTGTTTCCCTGAAACGCCATGTCCTTGAGGCGATGCGACCATTAAGCAAACATCATCCTACATACCGTTTCTTTGTGTTCTTCTGCTTTGACACGCCTGACCTCTGCGCGCTGTGCGCGCTTGAGGGTTCTTGCCTTTGACAACTCTTCCTTTTCGGCGCATGTTTTAGTGGTGGTGCTGGTCCCACTGGTAAGCCCACTGGCCCTGGTTGTCTGTTGACGGCTGGGGGCCATTGCAGCGTTAGAGGGAGTTGAAGTGGTTTACGCTAGGGGTTTTCAGTCGTCGCATCCTCACCGAGGGCATATTTCATGACGTCATTATCCCAGATTATGATGTCGCTCCCGTGGCGAGAATAGTATTCTGTACAGTTATTGGAGATTTCCGGACTCGGGGTCAGGAAATACGGAATCACGCTGACTAATATCCACCTCACGTGATTGGTACGATCGCGGTCTCGTGATGCGGAGGAATCTGTTGAATTTGCTTTTGTTGTCCTGGTCGCGTATGCTTGACCCTGCCGCCACGAAATGTCCTTCATCAGTCCAGAGGATCGCGCATACATGTCACCTTCGTCTTCACCGGGGGGATCGCCATCTACTTCTTCCGTTGTAGACTCTTCCCCCCTTTCGTCGCCATCTCTTCTGCCCCTTGATCTCAACCGCCCAACAACACCACCGGGTATAAGCCATCCATTTGCTGGATCCACACACGCTACAAAGCACCCTTCTAATGAACTTCGATACCCTAACTCGTCCTATGCACCCGCCAGCTGGGCATATCGACCCAATATATCGTCTTCTGCAGACCATTCCAAAGTGCTGGAAGATATGTTTCATGAGGAGAACTTCTCACAATCAGAGTTCGGGCCAGAACCTCCAGATGAAGCCACCCTATGGGAAGAGAAAATCACACGAGCGGTCGACATGGGTGAGGCTGAATTTACTTGGAAGTATGTGTGATCATCCTCTCGCCGTAAATGTCATCACACTACTCACGAAGGTTTAAGAGACGCAGATCTTACCTCTGTACCTCCATCCATTATGGAACTCAACAGCCTCGGCGTCGTTGCTGAGCCAACGCAGCGCCCTTTTAAGCGCGTGCAGACCGCACCAGCAGTCTTCTCGTCTCCACATAGATCCCTCTTCGCCCATTCCGTCGCCCCCGGCAGGACCCGGACCCAAGGTCTTATGATCTTTCTCGCAAACAACGTAATCAAAACCCTACCCCCGGAGTTCTTCAGACTGAGCAACCTGACTGTGCTCTCTCTCCGTGCGTGCTCACTGCCCCCTCTCTAGTTTTTTGGACATACTGATAACAGCCACGAGGGCAGGGAACAACAGCCTCGAGTCCATCCCACCAGAAATCGTGCAGTTGCACGCACTCAGGGATCTCGATGTAGTCAACAACAACTTGCGCTTCCTCCCAGCTGAGATGACCACGATGACCTTCACCAATCTCAAGGTCCACACGAACCCATGGCACCCAGACCCTGCCAACCCCGCAGCACACGACGAGCTCAGAACCGCTGACGCCACGACGCACGTACACTTTCGCGTCCCGCCACTGCGCGAAGTCATCCTGCGCTACCTCCTCACGCCATCTTCGACGAAGCAACAGCGCCCGCTAGCGTCGCACCTAGCCACGACGTTGACATCGACGACTGCACGCACACGGCACCAACCGACGACGCTCGAGGACCGCTTCCTGCTTCCGCTCCAAGATGGCGCGCTCTCCCCTGCCGATGCGGCGCTCTTCGCGCGCGTCGCACCGGCCGCGGTGTCCGCCCCGCGACGACATGGATTTTCACGCTCCACGACAACGAGCGCGGGCGCGGGCATGTTCTCTTCGGCGCATATCACGGCGGAAAGGAGGGAGCGCGGGTCTCTTGCGCTTGATGCAGCTGGAGCTGCGCAGGAGCAAAAGGGCTTTGGGCGTTGTCCATCTCCACGGCACTGCGGTGTTACGCCGGCACCAGTAGCAACGTCGCCTGCAGGGTTGGCAGCGGCAACGGCGTGGGCACGACTCGGCCCGCCATTCGTGCTGCCCGCGGAGGAACGGTATACGTGGGTGACCGAGATCGCAGGTGTGCGGGTCGGCGAGACGACGGGTGGGGTGCCGCTCCTGTGGCGTGGGTGTGGGCGAGGATGTCTGGACTTTTTGGACGGCGCCACCCCAGCATCAGACCGGGAAAAAAATTGACCTCTGGTGCGGAATTTGGGGGAGGGGTGTCATGTCGGGGTCGTGCTGATGATGCGATGCGATCGTGGTGAGTGCGTGCATACGTGCGTGTAGGTCGACCGGGTACATATTGTATTTATAGAAACAAATGTACAGTATATACGCTTGGCAGTTGCAGGCATGATCTATTCTCTAATATTCCCCAGTGACCAGTCGGGGGAAATCGTTTCCGTCCTCCTCGTGCTAACCTAGTCACTGGTAATAGTCTACAGCTCGCCACACCTCATAGGAATTTCTATTCTCTACGATGGCGGGAATTGAAAAGACAACAAAAAGTAAAAGAGGCGGAGGGAGGAAATAAAAATGCCAACTAGCCGGTTTGAACGACTGACCTCGTCATGCAGATCCACAAGAACATACAAGTGACGCGCTCTACCACTGAGCTAAGCAGGCCTGAATTGTTGGTCGATCGTTGCCCATGTTGACATTTTTGGCACAGGCAGCGCCCTCGGGAAATTGGCCTGTACTTGCCTGCCTTCGATTACTCTCTGTTCTCGCCCCTTGTACTTTTGACCGGGCCACCACCTTGACGCCCTGGTAAGTTAGCTCGCGTTGGCGCTTTGCGCGCTGTCTCTCGCCATCCTTGTTTCTGTCTCCCTCCCATATGTTAATATCCTCACATCCCAATCCAAGTCTGGTCGCGTCCTTGGTCGCGTCTTCGTTTTCTCCCGTCTCTGTCGCTCTCCGCCTCTCGTCGTACTCTCCCTTCTCGGGTCGCTGGCGCCTTGTTTTGACCCCGAACACCCGCCGATCCGTATTCTCACCTCGGAGTTCCTGACCGAGCCCGCCTTTCGTCGCATCGCCCGTTCCGCATCGATCGTCGGTTTTCTCTTTCAACCTGTCAAGCCTCCCTCTATGACATCACACCAACCTTGTTTTCACTCCCTTGTCTCTCGCCGTTTCACCCAGTCGGCTGTCCCTAGCCACCCGCAAGACGCCTTTGGAGATTGCGCTGGTTATTGCGCTGTCGTCGGTCTCAAAGGAGGTCTTTTGTTGTGCGTCACCCGGCTCGATTCCCTTTATTGGTGTTACTATACGTTCCTTCCTCGTTTCTCTCGACTTCGCTTATCTCTCTACTTGTGTTCGCGCCCATATTCCATTGTCTCTGCTCGTACTTATCCTACTTCCCGTTCGTCGTTCCCTGCGCTCATACACTCTCTACTCCTTTTACTCCCCCTCATTTCTCTCTATACCTTCGTCTTATCGTGAAACCGCTAGACACTGATTGTTTGTATTGTATTTAAACCGGCGTTTTTGACTCAGAAATATTGTTTCTCCACTTTAACACTCTCTACTGTCTGCCTCTAAGCCTATAGCCTGCGCACTCGCGCCACGCCAGCAACCCCAGCTTTGAAGACTAGCCCATTACCTTAGCCAACCGAGCCGCCGACCTCTGCCCCTGCCCTCCTATTTCGAGCTCCTGCCTTCGGATCCTTTGCCATCGCCATCGACCGACCTGCGGACCTCGGGCCCTACAACCATTGCCCGAGCCTCTGCCCTCGGATTCGCCGTCATCGTCCGAGCCTCTAACCTCGGCAGTAGCCCTAATAAATTTGCCATTTCTGTCCGCGTCGTCCGAGCCGCCAACATCGGGCTCTCGTCGCTTTGTCCAAGTCGCTGACCTTTGATTACTTACTCACTTCATCTTCTTGTTTCGAACCCCCTCACGTTCTTGCCTCCCGGCAGAATCTTCTCCTCTTTCAAATCACACGAAGTCAGCTCCGTAAAACGGTCGTCACTTGGCGGCGCGTTACACCCTCTTACCCTTGTAACTCATTTCGACTTGGACGAACATCTCTTGTGGCGTTTCGATTCTCTCCGAACCACGGAAAAAATACAATTGTGATAAACCTGTAACATCTATCGGGAACCTTGCAGCCTCCTCAAGCCCCCTGACGGCAACAATCACCCACTTTGGGTGACCGCTACCGACTGTGAGCGAGACCAAATCAACAGAAAAATACCATTCCGTCCGCTCTACAATGTTGTGACATGGCGATCTTTGCGGCGTTAAACGGCGTCTAGGAAGCTAATAAACACGATCACGCGTCGTGTACTCAGTCAGAAGAAAAGAGACTCGATTCGCGGTGGTAATCTACCTAATAAACACGATCACGCGTCGTGTACTACGAGTCCGTCAGTGTCACAGTAATAAGGCGGAAACAATAAATGCCCACCTCAGTCAGAAGAAAAGAGACTGAGGCGCATACACACTGATCTACGGCCTTAAGAGTAAAAAGTGGTACTGTACAGTTAATTAAGCCCCATGGGGCACACATTGGGGAATTGTCTGTCCAAGAACGAAATTACCATACTCCTGTCCTCGGTCCGCGCTACCGGCGGTTGACTCGTCCAACACTCCCCCTCAAGCGCTAGGGAGTCGCGAAAGTCCAAGCATGCGCGAGAACGTTTCCACCTTCGGCCAAGCTAACGGCTTAGTAAAGATGTCGGCTACGTTTGCGTCTGTCTGGACGTAACTGAGTCAGAGCTCGCCGTTGGCCACTGCCTCACGGACGTAGTGATAATGGATGTTGATATGCTTCGTGCGGGAGTGGAAGGCGTTGTCCTTTGTGAGCGCGATGGCCGACATGTTGTCAACGGACAGCGGGAAGGGGCGTGGGATGGTTAGTCCAATCTCGGCGCACAGCATGGTGAGCCACTTTGCTTCCTTTGCCACATGCGTCGCTGATATGTACTCAGCCTCCGTGCTCGACAGGGCGATGACTGCCTGCGTCTTGGCTGACCACGAGATCGCTCCCCCATGAGCGAAGAACGCATAGCCGGAGACTGAATGTCTGTGCTCCTGCAAGGCGAAATCAGCGTCCGCAAAGCCGATCGGGTCTCCTTCCGGCATTCCCACTCCATGCTCAACTCCGTACGTCAAGGCGTAATCGGCCGTCCCCTTCAAGTACCGCAGCACTCTCTGGCCTGCCTGCCAGTGCGCGCGGCCAGGGTTTTCAAGGTATTGCGACAGCGTCGTGACGGCGAATGCTACATCGGGTCGGGTCGCCACCGCAGCGTACATAAGCGAGCCGACGAGCTCTCTGTACGGTGTTTTGGCCATCTCGTCGACGTCCTCCGGCGTCTCTGGGGATTGGGCTTTTGACAAGCGTTGCCCCAGGTCTAGAGGCGTGGTGAGTGGGTTCGCATCTTCTAGATTGAACTGTGCGATGATGGACGAGATATAGGCACTTTGGGACAGCGTCAGCGTCCTCTTGGCGCGATTCCGACGGATCTCAACGCCGAGGAGCCAGTGGGCCTCCCCGAGGTCAGTCATCTCGAAATGCCTTCCCAAGCCGCGCTTAACCTTTGTTAGTAGCGGCGCCGAGTCGCTGATCATCAACAGGTCGTCGGTGGATGCGCCGATGATCACACTTCCGTCGTGACTCTGGTAGATGAAGACGGCGTGGTTGACTGCGCACACCTTGAACCCTAGGTTCTCGAAGGCGCTTACCAGCGTCTGGTACCACACACGTCCCGATTGCTGCAGCCCGTAGAGGCCGCGCGCAAGTCGACAGACATGGTTCGGGCAGTTCGCGTCGGTGAAGCCGGGGGGTTGTCGCATGTAGATGGTCTCGGTGAGTTTGCCGTTCAGGTACGCGTTCTTCACGTCCATCTGATGTACTTCCCAGTCAGAGCGGGCGGCGAAGGCGAGCAAGGCCTGGAGCGTCGAAAACTTCGCCACCGGTGCAAAGGTGTCGATGTAATCCACCCCTGGAACCTGGGTGAATCCCTGCGCAACCAACCTTGCTTTGTATCGGGTAATGTCTCCGTTCGCATCTCGCTTTAACTTGTAAACCCACTTGCAGCCAACGACATTTACCTCCGCCGGCCTTTCGACCAGCTCCCACGTGCCGAGCTCATTGATGCGCTTCATTTCCTCTTCCATTGCCGCTTGCCATCGCGGCCATTGAGGTAACGTTTTCGCGTCTGCTATGTTGCGCGGTTCTCTGACTAGCTCCCTGGCTAGAGCCCAGAAGGCCCCGCTGCAGTCAAGGATTCCAGAGCCAAGCTCCCACGGCGCCGCGGAATCGAATGCGATGGCCGCGTTGGCTGCTCGGCGGGTCTGGAGGCCTGTCGGTAAGATGGGGTCACGGGGCGACGGTGAGTTGGGAAGCAGATCTGGCTGGTTGCCTGATGTGGGTATACTCTCCCCCTCAAGCAGCGCAGTTCCGCGTTCATCCCATTTCACGTTTCGCTCAACGCTGACCGACCTTTTCCCAGGGACATAGATGCGGAAACCCTTCGACTGGCCGTCGTAGCCGACGAAGAAGGCAGCGTCCACTTGCATGTCAAGCTTGCCTCTCCCCTCCACCACCACGAAGACTCGGGTGCCCCAGGTGTGGGCACCCCTCAAGTCTGGCTTGGAGCCCGTCGCCACCTCATGCGGCGTCTTATTGGTGAGTGTGCGGGTGGGGGTGCGATTCTTCGTCCACGCGGTGTACTGGAGCGCTTCGGCCCAGAGGAATTTGGGGAGGTTTGTCGCGAGCATACAGGCTCAAGCGCGCGATAGGAGGGTGCGGTTGAGGCGTTTGGCGACGCCGTTCTGTGAGGGCGAGTCATGCACGGTGAGTTCGTGCTTCATTCCCCGTTCTGACAGGTGTGCTTCGAATGCGTTCGACAGGTACTCGCCACCTCTGTCCATCCTCAAGCATTTGATCCGCGCACTCCGCTGTTCCGCCGCCCAAGCTTCGAACTGCTTGTAGGCTTTGAACGCGTCGCTCTTCTTGGCCAGGAAGTGGAGGGAGATCTCACGGGAATGTTCGTCTGTCAGGGTAAGCATGTACTCTTGTTTTCCAATGCTTTGAACTGGTGCTGGCCCCCAGACGTCCGAATGGACCCGACCGCCATATTCCGTCGCGCGTGGCATCGCGCTTTCCTTCGGAAACGACTTCTCGGAGGCTTTCGCCCGCTCGCAGGGCTCGCATAGCCCTGCGGGTGCCGTCGCGTTTACCAGCCGGACCCCTTCAACCATTCCGCTTCTCACAGCGTCCCTGCACGCCTCGACGCCGACATGTCTGAGCCGTCGATGCAGCTCGTCGATGTGCACGACAAGCTCTCCTCCCGACGTTGCAGCGGTGACGTTGCCTGGCATCGGGAGGCGGTACAAGCCATTGTCGAGGGGTATATCAGCAATTCTCTCCCCTTTCGGCGCGTTAACGAGCATGTGGCCGGATTTCAGGGTGAAGGTATAGCCGGCGCAGTCCATAACGGACATCGATACGAGCGTGAAGGCGATTCCGGGGCAGTGGAGTACATTCTGTAGGATCAGGTGGATTGTACTTCCCCCATTTGGCAATGATATCTCCACGTCTCCGTGCCCAACGGCTTGGAAGTTCGTTTTGTTTGCGGCTGTGATCGAGATGGGGTCGATTGGTGTGTAATGGGTGAAT